TCTGACGGAAAGAGTCAATATTACTAAAATAACAGGTTCTATCTGCTTTGGGAAAATCATTCAGATCGAATTTGGATTGTATAAGTGAATCACCATCTTTGGTCATAAAAATAGAGAATGTTATCAGCGGGAGGCATATTATTTTTTTTTCTTTTTTGTATTTGATAAAAATATCTGATTCTCCAGAAAGCAGTAACATTCTTACTTCGGTCCAAGCAATTTTAATTCCTTCTCTTGCCACATAGACCCATGTATTTAATCAATCTGTACTTACTTGCTAATTGATTAACTTATGGGGTAGTTTTGCAATGGCCATATCGATCACATAAAGCTGTGCATGTATTTCGTGGATGGAATGAACCATAATTGTAGGAAATTTTACCACAAATCTTGAACATTTGCGGAACCAAATCCATAACCTAATCCCAGCCTTGGTAACAAATTATGCAAATGCGATGAGATGTGATGGCACTGTTGTGTTTCCGAATGTTTTGTATGTAGTGAAGTTTAGATGCGTTGTTCGACCTAGCTAGATGTGTACATCAAAGTAAAAACCCAGTACACATTTTTTTAAATACCTGAATTGACATTAATTTACCTACTTTACCAAAACCATAGATGAAACATACTCCGTAGTTAGTCTATTCCAAAACTTGAACACAGCTCTCATTCTCCTCATCTATGACACAATTTTCAACCCGATTATCGAGAACTTTTATACCAATAAATGAATTTCTGGTCTTCTTTCTTGAATTCAATAATATTCTTGAACCGTAAGCTAACCCGATAAGGAATAGTTATATGTTTCTTTGAAATTGATACGTCACACTTATTTCATAATTTAAAATTTTCTAAGCGCAATAAAGCATAGATTTTTGAACAAAACATTTAAAATGTATCATAAATTCATCATTTTGTTGAAACTTTAAAAAACTTGCCATGCGGTGGAGAATCCATTTAAAATCATAAATAATAATGTAAACATTTAATTTTGACAGTTTCAGTAGACCTTTGAATACAATTTTAATATTAACAGCTGGTTCATTAAAAGTAGTGTAAAATTATCCATATGGTCGAAATGTAAACAAAATTGCAGAGTGAACTTTAAAGGCCTCTGGGGCAGAGCCCCAAGGAAATTTACCTCGTTTCTATTTTGAGGGCTCACCTACAGACCAATACATTTCTTTAGATACCCCTACCAAGTTTCTACGCCCAGCCGTTCTCTGAAATTAGCTGTGACAAAAACCTCGTTTTCCTCCATAAGAATAACATGGGATGGGAATTTAAAGGCCACTGGGGCAGAGCCCCGAGGGAATTCTCCATGTTTCTCTTTTGATGGCTCATCTACAGACCAGGACCTTTCTTTAGACACCTCTACCGAGTACGCCCAGCCGTTCTCTCAAAATAGCTGTCACAAAGAAAAACAGTTTCAAATTAATATATAGATTACAATAAAATGTTACAGCATTTTAAAATTATGCTTTTAATTGTATATTAAGTTTCAGAAATTAAACAAAATGGTGAGATCGATCGATTCATCCCTTCTGTTTTGATCTCGTCAACGATCCGCATAGCCCTCATGAGTAAGTGTAATGTTGAGTTAAGTAAATTTTTAAAATAAAGCTCAGTATGTCTTCGCAGTATATTTAAGAACGTTTTTTTTTATCTGGTTCATAAGATAAGGTAGGCTATATAAATCAATAAAAAATTCACAAAAATACCCCCGCCGCAGCAAACCTGCAGAATAAGCGAATTTCCATTTGCCTGATTAGGTTTTCACTTAAATCTATTTAAAATACATGATGTTTAACGAGTATCATGTAGGTTTACTGCTAAGAGAGGGTAGTAAGTGTGTTTTTTTAGTAAAATATTAATGGCTTAGTATGAAATAAATACTTTTGCTAAGCATAGTCAAAATATATCCATGAACAAGCAAACAACAACAGTTTACTTATCTTATAATTTGTCTGTTACTTCAAAAATATAGGTTTCATATTTCATTTAATAGCACAGTAATAATTTGTATGTGGCCGTTATTCAGTTTATTTTATTATATAATTACCTTAACATTAAACACTCTAATGCCGATCGATTTGTCGTGTTTTACGTAGAACATTACTAACAAATTATGATTGTTGTATTATAAATAACATTATTCATGATAGCACGTTTCAGTTTTATAGTAAAACTAGCTGTACCCGCGAGCTTTGCCCCGTTTAACTTCATAAGTAAGCTCGTTCGCATGGCTCAATCACGTCCTGGTTTAAGTTGGAGCTCGTTCGCTGCGCTCACTTGCCTTCAGGTTAGCTCGTTCGCTACGCTAACTCGCCTCCAGGTTGAAGTTCATTCGCTACGCTCACTCACCTTTTGGTTGCAAATTAGCTGTTGTCTTAATTACAAAAAAAATAGTGCTGCACCCTGTTGGTAATCCTTGTAACTTCAATGCTATTGAACATCATAGTTCAACAGAACCAACTTGTTTAATTCATTAATTCCTTTTAAATATGAAAAATCATAAGGTTAACATGGGAAACTCCAGAGCCACTGGGGCAGAGCCCGAAAGCCCGATCAGAATAAAAACTACTTAGTTTCTTATTTAATGCTCAATGAATCGGTATACAGCCTTCTAGGTAAATGGGAAGTGGGAGAATTAGTGATGAGTGAGTCAGTGAGTGAATCAGTGAGTCAGTGAGTCAGTGAGTCAGTGAGTCAGTGAGGGCTTTGCCTTTTATATATATAGATATTTATCTGTTGACCTATTTTTGATGTAGAGGTAGTTATTCTAAAAATCACCATAGACAATAGTTTATTTAAAATATATTTTACTGTAAGTACACAATGTTTACTTTTGTCAAATTTACCCTCAATAACCAGCGTTTGTAGATTCACATTGCTTACATTTTGTTATTTTAGCCACATGGGTGTATCGTATGTGATACAATCCAATATTCACTAAAAGCCCCTTCATATTGTAAAGCCCGCCTAGCCAAGGGTGCATAATTGCCATCCCCTCTGTCACTAGAACACCCCTAGTTTAATTTGTTGGTAAATAGAGGAAATTTGAAATTCAAATTATAGTTTTGGCTAAGGCCTATGGATTATAACTAATCCCACTCCGTTCCAGTAAACTTGAAGCATAATTAAGTTTGTCAACATTTAGGATTAGGGGTGCAGTTATCAGGGCACTAGGGTGAAGGGCTGACTCTATCGAGGGTACACTGCAGGCTGTTTGTGTGAGTCAAATTTGTTTGGAAGAATCTATTTCTTTCTTAAATCTCTGCTAGTACTTTGTAAACAAGTTTACCATATCAGTGTTGAATAGGGGGTTTGTCATGAGTATACGTAATCATATTATGCAGCAAACTTTACTGAATAAAACTATAGATGCTAAAGGATGAGAAACTCGTTAAAATTTGTTTGTTTGTCTAGGTTTATGCAAAAGTATGAATATGTCCTTTTTTATGTGTAAGTAAAAAAAATAACACCACCTCTATTTCAAAATCCCGTTCTACACAATGCTTTCCTTCGCTTTTGTGGATACATATTGAGGAAAATAAATTGTAGTATGTCATCAAACAGTTTTTATTCTATCACATTCAACGGTACAAAGGTAAAACTCAGTTCCAAGGTGGTCACTATTTACAGTCTATTACAAAAATACAAAATTGGTGAAATTGAACAACAGGTAAAGGAATCATGTCATACAACCAGGCTGCATTACAGTACTTTCAGTTGACAGTAATGCGTTACTGAGTGAATAATTACTAAACTGTATTGATGACTGTGTATGCCTAGAGAATATCTGAGGTACTAACAGAATGTTTTGTTATTTGCATTGAGTTGTGTTCAATAGTACGGTAATTAGATTTCTTCATCATGCAAATATTTTTAATTAGGCCTCCTGGATTTAAAAAAATGAACACATTTCTTGGTAAAAGTATTTTCTATACTTTCTAGTGGAGAGTTTATTATTACAAAATAATTAACTAAAATTGATCATCAATGGTATTACCATTCATAACTTGTTGTAATATTTGCTTTTAAAGCAACATATTTACAATTTCCTTAATTAGGTTTCAGGAAAACTAAACAAAGTAATATGTATTACACTCACTAAATATTTTTCCCGTTATAGATGTATGTATAAAAACTCTAAAAGTATTAATTCTATTCCAATAAAGATGTAAAAAGTTTGTTAAGTGTGAAATGCACTGCAATTGTTAATGTCTTATTTTAACAAATTTCTAAAAATAAACACTTTAACATAGGTTTTTTATTGATAAATAAATTAAAATGTACATAACGCTCTTAACTAAGAAAAATAATACTATTTATTGCTTTGGCGATATCTACAACTAGGATATGTACATCTCAGATATGTACAAGTAGGATATGTACAAGTATGTAGGCTATGATAAACTATTATATTCAAGATAATTCAAAGTCTTAGAATAGCATTTAAGTCAGTCTTATAGATCCATTTAAGTAGAACATTCAAAGAGTACAACACACTAGACAGCAGTCAACGACTTCAAGCATATTTATATGCTTGAACATTAATATTACACACTACAGATACACCTAACCTAATACAACATTTGTCGGGACTTGTTTTCCCTTCCATTTGGCTTTTAAAAAATCACGAGTTTTAGGCTACTAGTCATATATTTGAGACGGTGATGATAAGTTATAACGCATTTCATTATTGATAAATTGTGTTTTTCGAGCAATACTTTTTTTTAAATCTAATTCAGTGAAAGTAACATGTATTTCATCTACAGGGCAGTAGTCCTGATTAATACAATTATTATACCCTTAGCAATAGGGAAGTGCCCCTGAACACCAGGTAAAATACATACTCTGTTCAGGGATTGTATCACTAAAAAGTGTAATAAATGTATAAATTACAGTTTTTTGATATCTCATAAATGAACATCCAGTAAATTTCTTTTTTTTTATTTCATATGCATAATGCATTATCTATTACAATATTCGTACAGCATGTTGTTGTTATTTTCTTTGGTCAGTACTCAGGTACAGCCTCAGCTAGGCCTGCAGTATGGTTCGCTAGCAGGCGAGGTGGTCCTGGGTAGCCATCATGTGGTTCCCTTGCACACTCCTGGTGGTTCTCCTCTACCATTGGCTGTCACATGATAGTTATGGTTCGGTTTGTGGTAGATGGTAGTGTGGTGGTCATTGTAGCTGCTGAACGATGTCATAGTCCGTGGGTGTCTAGGAGGTCTCTGTATCCGGCACTTGCTGCCGTCGGAATATACACTCTCCTAAAAACAGTTATATACAAAATTTAGTAATAATTTAAGATTGAAATATTTAACGTCAAAATATTATAAAGAAGTAACTCATTAACACCCATTACATGAGGAGTAACTCATGAAAGTAATACTCTTATCTTGAAAACACTGTTCAACTATTGCTAACGCTAACGACTTTTGGATTGTGAAGTAACATTCCCTCTATACGGATTTTGTATTCAAATTGAACACCACTAAAAGAGTGTGCTCATGTACAAATTCCAGTTTCTCCACAAGTTTCTGTTACTGTGATAGTTTATGTGTCATTCAACATGCTGCATGTTACAATAAGCTGTTTTCTTTAGCTTGGTTAGGAAGTTGGCGACTTAAGCATAGTCTGTTGGGGCTCAATTCAACTACATTCAATTTACTCTTAAAGTAGCTGCAGATTTAACATGGGAAAGGGCTATCTACTTATATCAATAATCAAAATTTATTACTAAGGTTTATCTAAACAAATATCGTGTAATATTGCTGATGTATTTTACAATCAAATATAAATAAAATTCAAATCATGTTGTAGGTTTGTGTGTTATTAGACTCACTTGTGGCCTGATGAGTGGCGTGGAGGCAGAGCTTCGTCGGTATCTAGGAGGCTGTGGTGGCAGTGATGGGGGTGGTGGGGGAGGGGTGTCTAGCTGACTGCTCTCTGTGTCTCTCTCTCCGGCGTCTGACAGCGCTCTACGTCCGTTCTGGGGGATGACCAGAGTCGCTGGCACCCCCGCACTGTAGTTACCTGTGCAAAAATGTCACAGCTTTAAGCTCAATATTATATGTACAATAAGGCAGTATTGTTAATAATTTTACTTTGTAATACAAAATTAAGCATATATATTTTTTTTTCTTTTTGTTGTTTTGTAATAATTAATGCAACAAAAGAATTGTGATTATATTTTTTTATATAAAAATATTTGTTGATTATAGCTGTCAGCTTGAATTTTGTAAACGAATATGCAGTATAGGAGCTATCGCCATTGTTTACAAAAACAAATATTCACAACAAAAATTTTCTCTATGATGTTAATACGTCTATGGTAGACTTATTTTCTAGTAAATATTTAGAACCGCCATTAAGATTAAAGGATAAAAATTATAATCTTTCCACAAATTACAATCCGCATACTGAATTGTGCAAAGGGTTTTGTTAATGCATGGTAGGTACTAAGTTTGATATGCAAGGTTATAATAGCTTACCCTTAATCCTATATCCTCTGTCACCAAGTAAGTAATAGTTATCAGAAAACACTCTTCCGTCGTAGTAGCCAAATGATGTGTAGGATGTCTCATTGTCGTTGCTCCTCTTTTGGTCAGAGTCCTAAAAAAATAGTTTACATTTTTGAACCAATTTATTAACACTCCTAGGCGATCAGACGAAAGCACTAAACAGTTTTTCTATATTTATAAAAAAACGCTCAATATAAATTTTGGTTGTGGAATTATAAGCTTTTTAGTCATCAATAATATTGTAACTAATACAACCTACTTGAAGTTTGGTCCAGGTACACTTAGATGAACTAAGACAACTTATATTGATAGCATAGAAGTAATACCTTCTAAAGCTACGAATAGCACTACTAAATCAGGATTAGTCATCTATATATTTAATATATCAATCCATTACACAGGAATAAAAGAAACAAAGCAAGGACCATTTAAGAAGAGCAGCATTCTGATTGGTTTGAGGGAAGACTGACCGGGGAGTGGCTGTTGCTGGACGGCGGCAGTACCAGGGTGGTCGAGGCGTACGCCGCAGACGTCTGGCTGGCACCTCCCACCCCCTTGAACGTCCACAAGGAGCCTCGCTGTAACATGTTGACCTCAGCGTAGTCCTCGGCAGTCTGCGGTACCTCGCTGTACAACTGACACTTCTCATCGACCTCGCACTTGCCTCCCTCTATCCACAGGTTGGGGTCCGTGGCCAGAGGGTGAGTCAGTCCACCCACTGTCAAACCTTTGAACCCCAGAGGTGTGGTCAGCACGCCCGCGTTCGATCGGGAATCTGCAAGTTACATTTGTTTACTGGGTAAAGGTACTGTGTAGCTTACCGTTTGCGATAAATTTAAACTATACAATATCATATACAAGGATCGTTTCTAATCAGAAGTACACTTATTCAGGTTCATTATAATGCTATTATCACAAGAAAACTGGCAATAATCTTGCAGAGAAGGCTGCTAAATTTCGCCACTAAATCAGTATTTCATTAGATAAAATACTTTAAATTACCACAATTATTGATATCAAGAGAAAAAGTAAATGTAATATTATCCAATATATCCAGTACCTGGTAAGTAGTCCTTTTTGTTAATTTGCTTTTTCCAGAAATACAGCATCGAACTGAAGAGAAGAACCATGACGGCTACCATGGAGCTGAGTAACACTATAAACCAAGTCTCGGAGAGAAAGTCGAAACTGGCCATCTCCATACTAGGCTGCACTCCCACTGGTTGTCTGTAATGAGTAAGCATTCGCTATGAGTTGTACCTAAACACTACTTGGTCTATTGGATTTTACTACTAATTTAAGTTTAAAAATTCGTATTTTCCTATATCCACTGAAGTGGTCATTACCTGGGGTGATTGAGCAGCCTGGTGGAGGGGTCCAGTCGCAGCGTGGCGGGAGCGCTGTACGGTCCCAGCCCTACCCTAGTGGCCGCCGCCGTCTGCACGGTGTATACCACCCCTGCGGTCAGGTTGGTAAGCAGTAGTGACGGTGTCGCGGCACTCACTGACACATTGCTCAGCACTCCCATCGTGCCTCTCACCACGACCTGCAGAAATCGATCACAACCCTGTCAAAATGGTGGTACGACTAGACTTGCTAGCAGCAATAATATGATTGCCTGCTGTCAACCATTCAGGCAATATAATTTAGATGGTTAAATTAACTCTTAGTTTAACTTCATCAATTTTTTTCTTATCAGAAATATAAGGGATAGTGAGAAGATTCTAAATGTTTTCCGAAGACTTAAAACTCAGAACTAATATTTTATCTAGCTTGTTCTTTTACCTGGTATGACTTGATAATCCCGTTGTGAGAGGTCTGAGATGGAAGTTTCCACTTCAGGTACACAGCACTAGTGTTGACCAGAACAGCTTCAATGTTACTTGGTGGCTCAGATGGGACTAAAAACAAAAGGAACGTTTTTTGGTTATAAATACGGTGTTGTAGAATGTAAAGTGAGACAGTTACATTTTTACTATATGCTGTTGCTGGAATAGATCATAGGAAAGATATCTATACCTATAATATAACGACATCATCTATTCGTGAGTAGGCCTTAGCAAATTTAAATTGTTGAGGAACTTGAGTTATATTTAAATAAAATACTCTAGACACTTCACAGACTTTGAAAACCTAAACATCAAACAACAACAGCAAAAAAATCCTTTTCCATGTCCTTTTACATGTCGTACAAGTGAATGAATACTTTACAATCCACATATTAGCGTAACTACGGTGTTGATTAGTCTCAATAACGTTTATACCAAATTGAATTGTTAATATCGTTAATTCCTATACCCACCATCCTCGAGAGTGCGAACTGTTTTTGAGTTGGACGGTCTTCCATCTACTAGCTTGTAAAAGGGTACAAGGAAGAACTGGTAGCGCGAGTAGGGTCTGAGGCCAGTGACCAAGAATCCTGACGTGTCGCCGGTGTGAAGTACCGTCAGCATGGTGGTGGAGCGCGCGTGAGGATCCATACCACGGGAGAAGATCAACACGCCTTCCACGTAGTCACTGCTCAGGATCTAAACATTTAGACATCGTGAAAGCAAACTCCTGATTTTAAAATGCTGTTATGATCGGTACGTATACGGCTTATTCTGAGCAAAATAAAAATAAATTTCTGAACCAAAGCACTAAAAGAAATTATATTTCGACAGGTCATGCTCAAACGTAATAATAATTTTACAGAAAGGCCTCAATTTTTAGATAATACTTTTGTAGTTTTACGAAGCAGTTTAACGCAGCCAATTACACAGTTTTTTTTTCGTTTAATATACAGCAGATACACACCTCCCAGCCCAGTCTGACAGAGGTGGACGAGACGGCTTGTACGGAGGTGAGCTCAACGACGTGGCCGGTGGACAGACTGGCCCTCGCCTCCTTTACAGAGGAGTCCACAGTGGTGTTGGACAGCAGGAGACTGGCAGACGGTGGGGACGCGGATGATAGACCGTGAGAGTTCTCCGCTCGGACTATGAACGTGTAGGACTCATTAGGCTGGAGGTAGGCCTGCGTGTAGGTGGGACCTGGGACTCTCCTGGCCACTACTACCCAACCACCACCACTGTGACCTCCACTCACCGACCTCTTGAACATTTCAACCTGGAAAACAAATTAGTGTTTTATCAGAAAAATTATAGTTACTTATACATCTGAAAATGGTTTGTCGTTCAAAATAATAAACTATGTTCTTGTGAGCAAACTGTCCTGATAGTCTATTAACCTTTTAATAAAACAATCGTGTTACAACATGTTTTATACCTGATAGCCCAGCAGAGAGGAAGAACCGATCTTGTTGTTCCTGGTCCAGGATATAGTGAGGCTGTTGTCGGACGAGTTCACTAGTGTAGGTCTGCTAGGAGGGCCCGGTAGTGTGGAGGGCTCCGGACTGCGGTAGAACGGAGCGTTGGGGTTGGTACGGGGCTCTAGTGTGAGAGTGGAGCTCCATGTTGCCTTCCCACTACGAGAGGATGCCACACATGTGTACAGTCCCTCGTCACTCGCCACTAGGTCTGCAAAGTGTAAGTAATTAACATTAGAGCCCTAAAGAATCTCTGTCATTCATGGACGATAGTAAGTATAAAAACCAAGATTTACTTATAAGTATTTTAAGATGTACAACATGGCAGTCACGTTCAAATAGTCTACGATAAGCTTAGTACTATTAGTAACAGTACATTACTCAACCTACTGTGTATTGCAAGTGTCCCATCGTCAGACAGAGTGACCTGAGGAGTTTCTATGGTAACGGGGATGCCGTTCTTGTACCACGTGATGATGGGAGCAGGGTCTCCAGAGGCGTGACAGGTCAGGATGCCCGGGGTGTGGAGGGGCAGAGTCTGGTTGGAGGAGCCAAGCTGGATGATGGGAGGAGGGTGATCGTCAGGTGAGACGACGGTGAGGCGAGAGGTCCAGGAGTCAGAGCCAGCAGCGTTGATAGCACCACACATCACCACCAGGCCGTTGTTTCTCTTTTGGACTCCCTGGGCAAAAGAGGGGGGTGGTTAAAAACTTGTTTGCACACAATTGATTTACTTTTTTAGCCACCGAATAGGTAAATGTCTATAAACATCTTTCTTTATATTAGTATATTTTATTAATAATACTCTTTCTGATAGTCACTGGACAACAAATATTACTTTTTAGCTTTCGAGGTTATTTGCATAACCATTAATAAATAGGTTATGTTCTTTTGTATAACTGATTGTGTTTTTATGGAGTAGCCTACTTCAAACAAAGGAGAAGTTACATCCTAGTAAAAATGCTAAGTAGGCCCTATTTAATCAATTAGTAGACTTTTCTATACGTAAAACGTACTAATATGTACAAAAATGTGTTTAATCACGTGTAAATACGTATTTTTATCAGAAAGAAATTTCACAATAATTTTACTTTGTGACAAGACAATTTACGGTACCTGGATGGTCAACGACAGTGACACCCCCTCGTGGCTCTCGCTGGTAGTCGACGCCACAATCTGTCCTTGCTCGTCTCCGGGCATCAGCAACGTGTGGTTACCCTCTATAAGCCAGAACAGTGTCGGAGTTGGCTTCCCTCTCACCCCGCAGAAGAACACGGCGTTGCGGCCCTCCTCCACTGTTAATTCCTGTGGCCTAACCAAAATCACCGGAGGAGCTGTAAGAAAGATTTGTCTAAGTTAGTTTAGATTGTTTCAACATAAGAACATACGAATGTGCAAGTGTTTATTATGAGTAATCAATGCATTTAAGCTCTTCAATGCAAAATTACATTATATTGCATTATGCATGTTATTAGGGGTTTTAAGTGAAGACCCTATTAACAAATAACCCTAAAAGTCAAATAGATACGAATATTGTGTTAACACGTAGCCAATGCATATCTTAGTCTATTGCTGGAAGGCTACTCACAGTGGACGATGAGCATGGCCGAGGCGGTGAGACTTCCTACAGCGTTGTCCACCTCACAGCTGTACTCTCCCTCGTCCTCCTGAGTGACCGCCTCCAGCCGCAAACTGCGATCCTCCAGTACATGGACTCTGCCCAGAGGCATGTTGCCGCCGCCAGCCGTGCGTCTCCACAGCACGTCCGGCACAGGGTCTCCGCCCGCCTCACAGGAGAACTCCACACTCGCTCCCGCCACTACCACGGCATCCTCAGGCACCCGCACTAGGAACGGTTTCACTGAAATGCCATACAATTAATTATCTGTAGAATTTGAAGTGACTAATGGCTAAAACTAATGACTGAAACCATCTTGGTGTTTAGCCTACGTTTTGTTTTTAAATGACTTTTCAATTCTTTGTTTATAAATCTAATTGTTTTCAAAAACTTACCGTGAACTTTAAGTTGTGCAAGAGCAGACTCTCTCGCCCCAACAGCGTTTTTGGCGATGCATTGATATTTCCCTTCATCCGCCTTTCTTGCATTTTGAATAGCCAAATTTCCTCCATCTACAATTTTTAATCTAAAATACAAAAATGTAATTAGATTGCATGAAAACGGTTTATCCACCATATAAAGTTTAGTAAGATAGTTATGTTGGGGGTTAACAAAACTTTATTAATAGAAGCCATATACTTACAACCGTAAATCAAAAACGTTAGTATAGTACTTCAAAACAAAATGTAAATACATTCCCGTTAGAAGCTTTATTGAACTGAATGCTATTAACAAAATGTAATATTGTAATTTTTATGGGACTATTGTTGATTACTTTAAATCCACATACTTACCGTACTTTTTGAATATAATGCAATCACTGATAAACGATACTCTGATAAGAAATTGTAAACTGGGAATCGCTTGATGATGAGGCAATTTGCTTTTATAACATTATTTTATTTACTCTAAAACCTAAAAATATTGTTTAAATAAAAAGATTAAAAGTTTGTTACATATCATCACGTACTTTATCTGTGTTCAATAGTACACGAAAATAAATTGTCTATTAAACAACTGTTGAAAGTTAAATATAATTGATAGCGTATATGCAGTACTTTACCTGTCAGAGGTGTCCACTTCCAAAAGTACACCATTCTTTTTCCAGGAAACCTGCGGCTCCGGAACTCCCTTGGGAGGACCACACTCCAGCAGCGCCGTCTCCCCTTGAGCAACCCTTAAGTTTGACGGCTCCACACGAAACTCCTCCCTCAGCACTAAAGCAAATATAGAAAGCCGTTACAAATATTCAGATAAAACTAAGACTGACAAGGTATATGGTGTTTAACGCAAAACAAATATTACAAAAACTGTGAGACTGTTTAGCGCCAAAACAAGCATTTATGGTGGTATCCCTGTTTTCATTACTTCATTGCCAATCAGCTGATATGCACATTGCCGATCAGCTGATATGCGTTGTTGCTTAGTTATTTATAAGGTTTAATTGTAATGGAATTTCTTTGTAAATAGGACTCAAATCTTGTAATTTATAATTTAATAAGTACTTTTAATTTGGGTTGCGTAAAAACACCCTGTAAGTAATTAATTTTTTTTTAATATATTATAAGTGAAATACTATTTAATGTTCTTCCATTCCACTAACCTGTCCATAAAAGGATACAAATTCGACAAAGAATATATTCGCCAGGATATACGATGTGCATTCACATATCTTTTTGTCTGTTCTCTGGATCTTTCAAACGTATAATATCCAACCCTAGTTGTGGTTGTATCCCGTCTTACCTCCGACTTGCAACGTGGCGTTTCTACTGGTCGTGTGGCCAGCGGAGTTGGTCGCTCTGCACCAGTAGACTCCGGCGTCGCGGCCAGGAGTCACTCTGAGGAAGAACAGCGCCCCAGGCAGTAGTACGCGGCTGGCCGAGGGTCGCATAGGGTGGCCATCCTTGTACCACTCTATGTGGGGCGGAGGATGACCGTCGGCGGCACAGTTGAGGGTGGCAGGCTCGTGGCGTGGCACAGTCAGGTCTGCAGGGTGTTCCGTGATACGGGGTGGTACCATCTGTGATCCTGAAACATGACAGAGGCACCGGTAAACATAATGCTTATTTTTAGATTTTCAACGTTTAAGGCTTGATGAAACGTATTTTACAATTTATAAATTAATACCGCTGATGACACTTGATAATGAAAGATATATTTGTTATTAGAAAAATTAATTGATGTTATTTGCAATATTACTAACATTTTGATATCCAGGTTGATTTTTAACGCGCAGCACAAATTAAAAGTACTGTGAGACATATTTTAACGACAAAACAACCTTATATTTTGGTGTCCATGTTTTGCTTACTTCATTGCCGATCAGCTGATATGCGTTGATACAGAGTCATCTATGAGGGTTAGTGTTGTTGGGAATTTATTGTAAATAAGACATAACTTGGTGTTTCCCCAATCTCGAAAAGTTAGAATAGTACTTTGAAAGTAAATCATTGGTTGTATGCCAAGAAAGGTTTGAAATTAAGTTACCAGGTGTGACTACAGTAACTTATAAATCAAATATTATTGATATGATCATATTTTAATTAATTTAATTCATAACAACACTAACCCTCATAGATAACTATGTATCAGATAACGCATATAAGCTGATCGGTAATAAAGTAAAGAAAACAAGGATACCAAAATATAATGTTGTTTATCATTAAAATGTGTCCCACAGTACTTTTAATTTGGGTTGCGCATTAAAAAACACCCAGTATTTACTTATTTTATTTTTGTAATTCTGTAGTTTGTAATTCTAGTAGGTTTTAAGCAAAGGGCCATTATGGATTTTTCTATCCAACTTAACCCTTCCATTAATGGTTTTTAGGAAGCGTTATTAGTAGATAGACCATAAAATCCCATAGTATAAGTAGTATAGATAGTAGATAACCAATTAAATCTTTAATATGCCTATTATTATTTAAAAAATAACTGGGTCCACAATAGATCCTACTTAGGGCCACACCTTCGGATTTGATCGTAAACACTTACTAGCCCAGTCAGTTCAAATCAGTACGTATTAATTTTAAATTTTCTCTATTTTTTAAATCATCATGGATGGCGTAAACGATTAGTGCTAGGCCTGTCTGTATCGAACTATGTCTTTCCGACATAATTGTGTAGAATTGTTGCAAAAAGTATTATATTAAATGCGTTGTAAAGCCCTCACTGACTGACTCACTCACTCATCACTAATTCTCCCACTTCCCATATACCTAGGAGGCTGAAATTTGGTACACTGATTCTTTAGGAATTAAATAGGAAAACTAAGTTGTTTTTATTCTGATCGGACTCTTGGGCTCCGCCCCAGTGGCTCTGGAGTTTCCCATGTTAACCTTATGAGTACTCATATTTAAATGGAATTAAATAATCTTAACAGCTAGTTCAACTAAACAATTTGATTCTGTGATGTTCAATAGCATTAAAAAGTTAATAGGTTTATCAACAGGGTGTAGCACTATTATTTTTTTAGTTTATGACAACAGCTAATTTACAACCAAAAGGTGAGTGAGCGAACCGAACGAACTTCAACATGGAGGCGAGTTAGCATTGCGAACGAGCTAATCAGAAGGCAAGTGAGCGCAGCGAACGAGCTCCAACCTGAAGGTGAGTGAGCGTAGCGAACGAACTTCAACCAGGGCGTGATTGAGCCATGCGAACGAGCTCATCTTGAAAATGAACGAGCATTTTACATAAAACCACATTAGGACAGGACGATGTCTGTTGGGCCAGCTCGTAGATAATATAAAGGATAAGGCCGTATACAATGTAAAAATGATTATATTTCTTTTTTTACAGGTAAATAAACATTAGTATAACATGTTTAATGCTGCCCATGTATTTGTCGTGCAAAAAATGTTGGGAATTAAAATAATGTATTATATTATTAATAGTATTATACTAATGAATATTATTACATCGTCAGGGTTTCGCTGAATACCTATGTATTGAAAGATATTATTGTTTTTTTCATAAAAGATTGTTTTTTACATGACCATTAAACATTGTTGTAGATGTATTAACTCAGAATAAGGATTAATGTAAAGAATATTTTTAGAGTTACATTTTTAAGCCTTTGTTTGGGATATAATTAAACGAAATTTTGTTTTACCAAAGTAAAACATAAAAAAGTAAGTAAGTATTACTTTAGAAAATTGTATGTTTCATTTGTATTCATATTCATAAGGTGATTTTCTTATATTTAATAGTGTAAATATGGGGAATTTCAATAATATTAGCTGTATTTTTGGATGTTTCATCTTATACTAAATAGGTAAAAATGTATAATATACATACGTACTTGATTTTTACTGAACCAGTTAACCAATCATTGCTGATTTAACACTTTCTAAATTATGGCGAAACTCAAACAAGATTAATGTTTGTAGCATGGTAGCATAACGATGAAAAGTCCAGAACTCGAAAAACTATCTAAACCCTTTAATAATATTTTGTTTTAATCAATGTACGGTTTAAAACAAGTTTAACGAAAGAAATCAATGCGATCTTAACAGCATCCATAAACTATTTTAAAACAAGTTTCCTACTAATATTTTGGTTTGAAACTTAGGTCTACATAGAGAAGTCTGAGCCTGAGCTTTTTTCCAACGTGATTATTTGTATATGCCTAATAAGTCAGTAGCTGTTTTGTATCGCAGTCATCTTGATGTAGTTTTATGACAGTTAAACAAATTTACGCCACGCTACACGTTTAAAGAACTTCCCACGCAAGGATTTAGTCCAGAAAACAGCTGTTTGCCGCCAGCTTAATCAAACGGGGTTTCATTTTGTTCTACTGTACTGTAATGAGTTTTTACCGGACACCAACCAGCTGATTTTATTTGGCAATGACTGATTAAAAACTAAAACATAACCTCTCTTTGAGGTTATAAGTAGTGATTGTTAGACCTTTAGTCGGTGGGAATATACAGGGTGTCCATAAAAAACGTTTCAGGACTTTGGGAAATGAATCCTCATACTAAAAGGAAGAAAAACAATTTATCTGAAGGTATGTCCAAAAATGCATATTTACCCAATTATCCGCCATTTTGTTTTTTATACAATAGTATATTACGTTACTAGTCTTGGAAAATAAGTGTTTACCGGACGAGTCCGGTAAAGACATTTTGGACGAGTGACGTACGATAGTTTACGCCATACTACTAAATCTGTTCAAATCCTTATAAATTACCACCAACTAAAGGACTAAAAATCACTAGTCATAACCTCTGAGAGAGGTTATGTTTTTGTTTATAACCACTAACTATTGCCACCCAAATACAATATATCAGCTGATTGGTGTCCGGTAAAACTCATTACAGTACAGTAGTACGCAATGAAACCCCATTTGATTAAGCTGACGACAAACAGCTGTTTTCTGGACTAAATCCTTGCATGTTAAGTTTGTCAAAATAGTGTAGTGTGGCGTAAAAATATTTTTATCTGTGAAGTTTTTTGTTTGATGATTATGAAATTTGGTAACCATGTTAACAACACAAGACCTGTAATATAAAAAATAATAAAGTTGTTCCAATTGTTAATTTCAAAATGGAGGCCGTTTTAATTTTTCTAATTTAAATAACTCGAAAACGGCTAATTCTATGAAAAAATTTCAAGAATACTTTTTTAGCATTTTTAATTTCCGATCAAACGATACCAAGATCAAAAAGATCGGACAAAAGGTAACTGAAATATAACGGGTTTTGTGTAAAAATAAGGAAAAATTAAGCGTTCCCCGACTAACTTTGCCTTGTTTTCACACAAAAACTGTTATATTTCAGTTACCTCTTGTCCGATCTTTTTATCTTGGTATAGTTTGATAGGGAATTAAAAATGCAAAAAAAGAAGGATTCTTGACATTTTTTTATAGAATTAGCGGTTTTTGAGTTATTTAAGTTAGAAAAATCCAAACGGCCGCCATTTTGAAATTTACAATTGGAACAACTTTATTATTTTTTGTATTATAGGTCTTGTGTATGTTAACATGGTTACCAAATTTCATAATCATCAAACGAAAAACTTCACAGATAAAAATATTTTTGTATAAAAAACAAAATGGTGGATAACTGGGTGAATATGCATTTTCGGACATACCTTCAGATCTACTTTTTTCTTCCTTTCAGTATGAGGATTCATTCCCAAACGTTTTTATGGACACCCTGTATAAGGATTTGTACATATTTTTTTTTATTGTTGAGTTAACTTAGAGTAGTATGGCGTAAAACATCGTACGCCACACTCGTTCGGTAAACACCTATTTTCAGGACTTGTAATGTAATATACTGTACTCTCAAGAAAATGGATACCAAATATGCTTGCCCTATTAATAGTTTACAATAGTACTATAGTACTATAGTAGATATTTATTAACTAGTCATTTGTGTAATTTAATAACACAGAGGTAAATTACAGTTAATTATATTTTTAGGAAAGCATACTAAAAGAAAAGTTTAAGATAACTTGTCACAGGTTATGTCTTATTTTCATTGCTCTTACGCGATAAAAAGGTTATACACCAGTGAGCTTATCCATTACAAAAATAGATTGAACAAGTTGGAATTTATCAAGCTAACTAATTATGTTTATGATGTTGAAGAGCTTTACAATTAACACAATCGTTTACAAATATATGTATACAAATGTTATATTAATGTAACTGAGTCGTTTTCAATTGAGCTTAGAAAGAACGCAATACAACAAACAACCATAGCCTACAAGTACTAGGTTAATAATAAATATGTAATTATATTTAGTATCTAGTCAATATAACAGTGTGGATGTAATGTATCGAGTAGTGTTGTTGGAGGACTTTTATTCTATCCGTATAATACCACATACACTAATGGAGGCGATAAGACATTCTGTATTTCAGTATCAAAACATTCTCAACTGAATATTGTTAAACTAAATTTAGACATGTTTTTCAATTTAAACTGTTTTTGACCCGGTAAATATTTGGATGGAATTTGTGTCGTTCAAATTGACAATGAAGATGGTCCATCAGCGAGGGCGCGTGGTGTGTTGCTCGGTTATTTACTGAGGCTGTGGCCCATGACGCGGTTGTATTTTGGCTCTAAACTATGCAAATGCAGCAAATAACTCTCTCTACAACCGTTAATGTGTGCAACATTTACATTGTTGCCTCTGTACTTTGTTGGCTTCACTTTGGAACAAATTAAGCAAGAGTATGTTTTGTATTGTTTTGTGTTATTACTCTTTAAGAATTCCTATTCAAATATGTTGCTTTGGCCAGATTCCAGCTACAGTGTTCAAACGTTACATTGTGGATGTTGAACGGGTTTTCGCCCAAAAAAGTCGTAGGCTATAGCACGCCAAGTATAATTAAAATATCTAACTAAGACTTTATCTCTATTTTTCTTGGCTATTTTATTTCTAAAAATTAATGCTAAATAGAATCAAAAAGTAAATTAACTGGAAAATGATGATTCCTAAGTTTCCAATATAAGCTCATTTCAATTGTACATTGCAATTCTACATTGCGTACTCGGAGTCAATAATCCTTCTTCTTACGTAAAACAGCAAATATCTTTTTTAGTTGTAAATATGTTGATAACAGGTTGAATATTCTTTACCAAATGCGTACCACAACTCCAACTAAATGGATAATGAACCAACATGTTCAATTTCATAATCAATAAAACTCACAAAGTCTGAAAATGTATACATAAATAGATATTTTAATGATGCAAGGTAAAAAAAATACTTTACTTTATATCGAATTATAATTCTCACCTTCTTAATTAATATTCTGCACTAAAATAAATTGACACACCTATCACCCATATTTACACCGTTGTCTACTCCTTCTGATGAGAGAAATGACGTTAAAAATAAACAATCAATACATACAGTACTTTTAGTTGAATTCATAATTCGTATCCCCTATGAAATAAGTTTAATTTGGTAAGTTTAATTGGGTTATTAGAATTCTTATTGTTTCCTAAATCCATGTAGCATTCCTAGCCTGGCGTTGAGTTAAAGCTCAAAGAGACGGCGACTGCAGCGGCAGACGAGGAGCCCCACAGGTAAATTAAATTATCAGAGTGAAGAGCCAAAAGCCAATATTGTTTGAGCGCCGCGCCGCGCCACCCACGCTACGTTCAGTCTGACCACAGCGTGAGGTAATCAATCGTAGGCCGAGTAGACCTCTAATCGAATGTTAAGATATGTTCACGTGAAAATTACAATATAACGTAACTCACGTATGTGTGTTTTTAAGAGTGTTGTAAGTACGTATACATGGATACTGTACATGAAAAATTATATTGAAGAACAATTTCATTCGTTTTTCTCGTAGATCATAGTTTATTACATTTTCTAACTTGCTTAATGTTTAATGTTAGCTGTTACAGTAGATTGAACAAAGTGCATTTAAAGTCAAAAGATTTAAAAATTTCTTTAGAATAAAATCCAAATAAAACGTCATGCATAGGTTATAGTTATTAGGGTTCCTAACATTGACAGATATAGTATATAAATTATTTTATAATGACTAAAAGACTATATTACAAAGATAATTTAATTTATGCTCCAAGTTGATACAACAAGTGGATTGCACCTTTTTTTTATTTTATATTCAATTTGAAAGGAATATAACTTCCAGAAAATAATAAATAAATTATTTAAATTAATTTAAATCAATTATTACAGCATTTATACCAATTTACAATAGCTCGATTATGATGAACCACTCTTAAGCTTCAAACTAAATCAGTCATTACACTTACTTTATCCTTCTAAACTTGACAAAAATTCGCCCAACTAAATATTAATTATTTTACAGTATATTTAGTCATCGACAAAGAGACATTTAAGTATAGTTACTGCCACGGCCTGCAGTAAACGAATTTATTCTCTAATACGTCCAAACATGTTGCAATTCCCTTGAACACGTTATTAGGGATTGCGTGTCAGTTTAACTAAGTGAGATTCCATTTTCGCAAACTTTCATCAAACAACATTAGAGATGACATGAGAGCAATAACAACGACACCGCTGTGCCAATATCACGGCTAAATAATCTCTCTTATGTAACTACAGGAATTTGTACGGAACAAACGACAACAGGCATTATATTAGTCCTTTGTTGATGCATTCTATATTACCTGGCTTGAATGCTTTCTCAAACAAAGGTGAGTTTGAAATTGGAGTTTGCTGTCTGACAACTAAATTATCTTTGGTTCAATGAAACGGAACTTATCCCTTTATGTTTGCGTTTGTTGTAAGGTCTTCAATTGTGATGGATTTATTATTTCTTGATTAATTTGCTGATGAACAATTTTTAATTGATATTAACATCAATATAAGCTTTTGCTTAGTTGAATCTCAAGATGAGATTTTTTATTTATTAACTCTTTTCTTTAGTAGGATAGATGATGGTATATAAAATAATAGTGTTATTAAATCAATACAATCTCTATTTAATAGTTTATAGTTAATATAACTTTTAACTAAAACGTCACAGTATTTATAATGTCTAGCTTTTACAATATTTTATACAAATCCCCAATAATAGCACAAACTATTAAATGTCTATATAAATTTAAAATGTCAATCAAGTGTCCAAAACTTGAATCTCGACTTGTATGTTTAGTTCTTATATAAAATATAGTGTTCTATTGTTTTCAGTGTTCATGTGATTTCCGATACACATCAATCCTCAAAGAGACCTAATAGACTCTTAATACGCTCAATACACCGTAATTGTAATATATATATACAGGGTGATCAACTCAAGGAGGCCACCATTGGGATATCGGAAACGATAAGAATTAGAGAAAACTTTAAATGGGGGACATTCCTTTATTTTTTGTGGCAGTTTAAAATATGATTTGATTTTTTCGAAATTCAGCCGCCATTTTCCAAAATGGCGGCCAACTTTGAAATTTCTTATGGAACACCCTATATTTTATCATGTTTTCGGATAGAACAGGCAATTTAAAAACTTTTTTATTCTTGGCATTTTTTCGATAAACTCACTCGTTTAGGAGTTACAGCCTATGGAAAAATGACTTCCGGTGTACATTTTACATCATGTAGCTCCTAAACAAGTAGGTTTATAGTGAAAATTCAAAAAGTAAATGAGTGAAATAAGTCTTAAAATTGCATCCATATTCCAAAAAGACCAAAAAATACACAGTTTTCCACTTTTCAAGTTTGCCGCCATGTTGGAAAATGGCCGCCATTTTTTAAATAATAGAATTAATAGTTTTTAACGAATTTTTTGGTCTTTTTGGAATGTGGATGAAATTTTAAGACTTATTTGACTCATTTACTTTTCGAATTTTCGCTATAAACCTACTTGTTTAGGAGCTACATGATGTAAAATATGTACACCGGAAGTCATTTTTCCATAGGCTGTAACTCCTAAACGAGTGGGTTTATCGAAAAAATGCCAAGAATAAAAAAGTTTTTAAATTGCCTGTTCTATCCGAAAACATGATAAAATATAGGGTGTTCCATAAGAAATTTCAAAGTTGGCCGCCATTTTGGAAAATGGCGGCTGAATTTCGAAAAAATCAAATCATATTTTAAACTGCCACAAAAAATAAAGGAATGTCCCCCATTTAAAGTTTTCTCTAATTCTTATCGTTTCTGATATCCCAATGGTGGCCTCCTTGAGTTGATCACCCTGTATATAAAACCATTATAAACCAGTACCAGTAAATGATTTTTAACGTTATCTTACCATGATGTTATGTATTTAAGATCATTACGTCTATTGCAATACTTATAGTTTTAGAGGGTTCTACTATTTTTCTCATTTTAACAGATTCGATGTAGTTGGTACACCCATATTTAAATATGATGGAGCGGCTTTTAACATTAAAAATAATATTTCCTGGTGGTGGATTTTAAACATTGGTGGTGGTAATTTTTTTAACTAACGAATTATTGAAAAGGCTTTAATCAGAGTATAAGGATTTTACCTATGAATATTAAAATATACTATTTAAAAAGTAAGTAAATTGCACGTTTGTATGTGAGCCTTCCTTTTATTCAACAGTTGTTTCTGGAGTAGAGTTTGCACGTTAAAATTTTTTGAATAAATACTATTTTCAGCTTTATTCAAGTAATAGTTGTGTTAGTTTATGTTTCTGTCATTTTCTTAGAGTAATAAATAAATTATTGGGTAATAATACATTATTGTAATTTATAGAATAACGTAATTTTACTCTTGAAATGTGAGATAAAATATAATTTGAATTAGGTTTAGTTTGAAAAATACCACATCCTCTGTCATTGGTATGGCATCATTCCATTGTGCCTTATCTATTTTGTATTATCTAGATATTTACTTTTTAAAGTAGAGGAAGCTTGTGAGCAGCCTCAATAACAAGTAGGCTAATTATATTTCTGTTGGATTCTGCAAAATCAAAATTGGTTATTATTTTACCTAAAAATTTTGAATTATCTGATGGAGTTCTAAAATTTTGTATAACAATCTATATCTAAGTATATATATATATATATATATATATATATATATATATATATATATATATATATATATATCTACTCACCAGCATTATATCCAATCGAAATCAACGCACATAGCACTACAAAACGCATTTTACACAGCTCACACACGTATGAAAACACACTCTCTTCTCCACATAAATTTGTATAAACAGTAATAAAAATTATTTACATCAACCATTTGCAGCGTAAAGTGTCACTATAGACTTGATTCAAGATAGTTTCAAGTGTGTTTTATCTGACACTTGTAACTGTTGTAAACACGTGATGGTTTGTAAGTTCGCTGACAGCGGCATGTCTCTCTCACTCCTACTCTCGGCACCGCGGTCCATGCCACACTGAGGCTGCCAGCATCCCATTTGAGTCTCGTGATTAAGGGGGGGGGGAGATCATCCACCCTCCCACCCTTCACTCAACGAATAGCTAAAGCGAACCGAATACAGACAAAGCTATAAAAATGAGTAAGTGTAATAGAAAAATGTAAGCCTACTTAAAACATCAAGGGTCTTGATAACAAAATTTACTTACAAAGGAATAATTCAGTACAAGTTGTGATTTTAAATTCCATAGCTTATTTAGCGTGGATGTATAAATGGCACTAATGTGCGTTTTAAAATGTTGTGACTATATGATAATTACAAATCCAAAAGTCAATATAAATGGTATCCAATGGAAATTGGTGTGTGGCTGCTAATAACAAGTAGTGTTGTCCCCCAATTTCACTTCAAAACTTTCTCCACAGATTGACAAAGTTGCTGTTTTATTGTTGTGTCATTAGATTTAATATGAATGTAATAGGTAAAACATAGTTTGAGTATGACATTTTATTACTAGGTGTTTTTTGCGTTACAGAGGTTAGAATTAGCCTTTATGTAGTAATATTCTTGTTTACAACTCTCACGTGTTCTGACTTGATCCTCTAGGTACCCAGGTGATTATACTACTCGCCTTAAACCAGAAGGTCACTGGTTCGATTCCAAGTGAGATAATTGCCAGATCCTTGTCATTTGGCTAACAAAGGTGATACATAACAAAAAAAATCATTTTGCGTAGAAACACACACAAAATAAAAAGGTAGACTAGATAGTAACAGGGCCAGGAGGAGCAACCGCTCCTCTACAAAAAACGTCTAGAAATACCAATTCGTGGACAAATAAAGAAAATCCTAAGCCCGCTGTTTTAAATCATAAACAGTTCGAACAGGATACTTGATTCCCGTTCGTGGGACGGGCTCGCATCTAGTCGTAATTAAATGTCTGTGAACTAACTGAAACAGATATTCAATTAATGCCCTTGCTACAAAATACACACGATTACAACTAATACTGTGCATTGCTCTCATGAGTTGAAGTAATGTTTTTGCGTCGATGACTACGTGTACAATGTTGCAGTACTGTATTGAGGTTTGTCGCCGGACCAGGCCTCCCCTGCGAGAGGGGTTGCTTGTGTTGCGTCAAGTTACGACCACAGGGTCACTTTACGATGACCAGTCCGAGATTTAGCACACTTCGTCCTTACCCTCGGTAAGTTAACAGTCTAAACACTCGAGTGGGGTTTCATTGTCTCTTTAGTATTATGCTGTATAATTGACATGCGTTATAAGTTTATTTTATGCGTTAGTAGTTCGTAGTAAGACGCTTCAAACTAATGTTTTGTATGTATGCTATACGAGTATTCTGAAAAGAGCTTAAAAAAACTAAAATAGTTGGATTATTTTTTACAGTTGAATACCAGAGTTCAGTGTCCAGTGCTTCTTTCCTCCAAATATTGCAATCATTATATGTTTATCATATATTTTTTATCATGGACATATCCATGATCAAATGTGAAGTTATTCCGTAGCTAGAGTCATAATTAATTGTCAATAACTGGTTGAAGCTGTGTTTTCAGATTACAAATAAATGAGAAAGCAACTTAACCCCTAACTTGATTCATCAACTTAAGTCTAAAAATCATAATCATATCTTCCAGGATTTTTATATGTATTTCATACGTACTCATTTTTCCCTGCACGTATTTTTTATGCTTATAAGTTGTGTACCCTATAACTAGTTGTAAAAATACTAGTACATTTCAAAACAACATGATCTCTCCATTATTATTCGTTTTAAGACCCCTTTTTATATTTTTTTTACTGTATATGTTGTAACACATATATTAATAACACATAAAGTGTAGGGCTAACTATTTTTTTAATATTTTACGTACACAAAAATATGCTTAAGTATTATACTTAAAATACAGCGAACTGTTAAAATACAGCGTTGCTGTTCTTTTCACTGTTGTCTGATGGGGGCATCAGACGACAGTGAAAAGAACTGCTGTTGGAATCTCAGTCTTAAAATCATTAGTCTGGGAAGAAGGGAGATCTGCTTAAAGATTTATTCAAACGAGATCACTCTTTACTTCCTTTCTTGGAAACTAATGGAAAGACTCTTTTTAAGATTTCATTGAAAAGACACCGGCAAAAGGCCAAGTAATTAAGGGCACAATCTCATTACAAAGACAGTGACTGAGAAGAAAGTTTTACGGCATACGGAATTTGTTTTCATTTCAAGTGTTGAAATGTAAACACAGTTGTTTATAAATTTATACTTGACCTTTCTTGTAATCGTCATATTATTTCTAAACTAGTATGGGTTATGTATTTACTCATTATTGATCTTAGCATTAAAAGGTGAAGTGTATCTGGCGATTGATCTCTATGACTATAATAGTCGGAGAAATATAGGATATGACCTTAAAAAAATTACAAGAAAACGTTTTATGGTTTTATTTTGTAGAGTTGGGTTTGCAGAATGACATACTAAAAGTTGCCAAAAATCGGTGGACGAGAAAACGACTAAAATCATAATTTAAAATGGCGGCTTTTTCCGATTGTTTCCCGAGTTATAAGTCTTTTAATAACAATATATTTCTAAAAAGTTAAATTTAATATTGTTCTGAGGTTCGTAGCTGGTCTTTAACTCGTCTGATTTTAATGATCAAGAGTTCCAACGAAAGCCCTTACATTACTGAATATTTTAAGCCTAGAACGAACTACAACCGTCAATAAGAACTGGAGATATAAGAAAAATAATTTAAAAACAATTATCAAACTACGAAACGTCCATAAGAAATGTATGGTGGAGAGTTTTCGTTTGAATATATCTTCTAAATGAATAAAGATATTTAAAAACGGATTTCGGCATTGAAATCAACGTAAAAATGTAGTTGGTAATGATGTGTCACAACACTATCATTACATTGAAAAAAAATTATCTATGTCCAATATGGCGGATTCAAGATGGCGGCCAAAAACATGTTCCCTATCAAAATGAAGTGATAACCATCCAATAAATACAAGCGGTAGTCCCAAGTCAATATCTCGAAAAATGTGCATAACAAATGCATGTGAAATATGTTTTTTTTTAATTTGTCCAATGTTGGAAATAGCCGCCATTTTAAATTCTGATTTTAGTGGTTTTCTCGTGCACCGATTTTTGGCGACTTTTAGTATGTCATTCTGCAAACCCAACTCTACAAAATAAAACCATAAAACGTTTTCTTGCAATTTTTTTAACGATCCCTATGTAAGTTTGTTTAGTTTGCTTGGACTATAACATCACCTCCACTAATTGATAGTGTAACAAACATAGCATGATGAACACTTAAAATAACAACAACATTATTCAAAATCTCATACACACCACCTTGACGTCATAAAATATTTGTTTATTAACATTCTCCATGCTAAAATTGTGTTTGTCCTTTAAAAGTACCAAATGTGCTGACAACCGAAATACCATCTAACCTCATATTTACTGCACTACCCAATCAAGTTTTGCCCTCCTTGGTGCCACAATCTTGTACCAATTACTCTATCAACAATTCCAATAAGGACGTCCAAACTCTGTCTGAAACTAACTTCAAGGGGTTCTCCCCTAAATACATAGACCAATTTCTCTTTTCCTTAATTAAAGGCAGGTGTAGCTTATAAAGTCGTAATGGAATAATCAATAAATGACTTTTTAACAGTATTTTTGTGTGCAATGGTAAGGACACTTTTTAACCATTGGCACTAGTTTTAATATGCATATTTTAAAAAGGGTTTAAAGTTATTATTGTGATTGATTTTATGATTGGGAAGAAATCCAAATATTTTTACACAGTCTTATAATGGTTAAATAATACCACAATAGGCTATGTGTACAAATTCGAATCTATAGACCTTATCGGATGTGGTAATTTAAACCGCTGATCTTCCAATCAGCATCCAATACTGACCAAGGGGTTTCTCAATGTCCGAGCTCGACTCATGAATCGTATTCACTAATGGCCACAACAATCCCATATCAGTAACTGATAACGATCTGTTAGGCCGCAGCTGTTGTGTCAATAAATCAGCTGTCATTTCCCGCCATTTCAAACATCAGGCCACATCAGCACTATTATGCTGATTGATACAATCTCCGAATCTGCCCTCCGACCACACAAACGCAAATCCCCTCACGATTTCCGCAGTATGAGGATAACTAACTAATAGATAACATGCAGATAGACTCCTAGTAGGATTTGATATAATGTCAATTTTCAAAATAGGTAATGTGCAATGTTTTTAGAACAAGAGGATAGCTAAACAGTTAGAGACTGTTAACTGTGTGAAAGTAACATAGTGGATAATGACGTAACAAGGACTTTCAACATTATTTTATTACCAGTCAAATAGTATAATGATTCCATTTGTATCAGCCAACAAAAAAACTTTATAAATTATAATATTTTATTTATATAAATTAAAATCTAAATTATTAGGTTTGTGATGATAGAAGAATATTTATAACATTCTGTAATTACTGTATGCCTTTTTTCTACACTCATATTATACGATTATTAATTTTCAATAATGCTTAAATAACAAAAGAACAGTCATAGTTTACTAGATCAACAATCTTTATATTTAAGTTAAGTATATAAACCACCGTCATGAGAAAGGTAGTTCGAAGGTTCTGATAATAGCAGAAGTTATGTTGTAAATATTATAACTTGAAACTGAAAAATAAAATTAGCAGTTTTGAATTATTAAAGAGGTGTTAGTTGTATCTTTGGTGTTCTGTTTTCGTCCCTAATTACTGAATCACGATTTCCATGTCTAACAAAAATTAAAAAAAACATGTTGCAGTATTAAATATCATGAC